CACCAGACTTTGAATAGACACTTTAGTAGTCTTCCATTATGTGTGAATTAGTAAACATGACTTCTGACTTTAAAATGTTCTCTCCTCTACTTTTCTTCTTTTTATTTTAGTATTCCTTTTAGCTCTGCAGTTTTTAGAACTGGCATTGCATCCACCTTGCCTCCCTGTACCCAAAGCTCAATGCCCTGACTGTGCAGTACTGTGCCTGATGGGCAGTGCTATGCTCTCTCTCTCTCTGCATTTGTGTGTCTGCCTGGCATGCTGTCTTTAGCTGGTGTCAGTGGTGGTGGCAGCCAGCAGCGTGTGGTCCAGCTCCTGTGTGACTGTGACTAGCCTCTGGCTCTACTCTCTCTGCCCCACATTGCTCATTCCTCATGGCTATTCTCCATCTCCCAGCATCCCCTTCGTCTGCAATGAATATCAATCACTGTAATGGGGGTGCTTTCACACGAAAAAACACTCGGCTAAACTAAACTGGGTCAGTATCCTTTCATTAGTGACGCAGTAGAGGCGAGGGGAGGAAGTAAAAGGGAAAACAATCGAGAGAGACAGAGATAAATATGTAGATAGAGACATGTAGATATATATATATATATATATATATATATATATATATATACAGTGGGTACGGAAAGTATTCAGACCCCCTTAAATTTTTCACTCTTTGTTACCATACTCGGAATTAGTGCTCTGCATTTACCCATCCAAAGTGCACACACACAGCAGTGAACACACACAAACCGTGAACACACACAAACTGTGAACACACACCCGGAGCAGTGTGAGCCATCAATTATAATTTTATTCCTGTTTGTCACTCTTCTGTTCTCTTAGGAAGCAACGTGTTCAGAAATGGCACAGCATATTTTAAGAACAGTGACTTGCAAAATGTATGTCGCGCATTTTAGAAAACTATACCACATAAAACCATTCTAAAATGAATAAGCATTATACAACCTTGATATTACAATGTAAAGTGATCATCACGGACAATCCACAACATTCAATGGTGCAAGCTTAAAAGTATTGTATGACTCAAAATATAACTCTCTCGCTCTCAAAAAAAGAAAAGAAAAAGAAAACAGTCATTCAGGTTTAGAACAACAGAGAATTTCAATTTAGTTGTAACTATACTTTTAAGATTGTAGCTTGTGACTGCTGCTATTATATTGCTATTTATGCTCACCGAGGCTGCATTTATTTGAAAGAACATAAATAAATAAATATATAAATAAATAAATGAATGAATGAATGAATGAATACATTTTCAATTTAAAACAACTTTTTTTCTATTTATATACTTTTTAATATAATTTATTCCTGTGATGGCAAAGCCGCATTTTCAGCAGACATTACTTCAGTCTTCAGTGTCACATTACCCTTCCAAAATCATTCTAAAATGCCGATTTGCTGCTCAAGAAATATTTATTTTTATCAAAACGGTTGTGCTGCTTAGTATTTTTGTGGAAAGTGTGTTTTTTTCAGGACTCTTAAATGTCTTTATGAAAGTAAATGACTTTACTGTCACTTTTGATCAAAAGCTCTTTATAAAGGTATTTCTTTAAATCATCTAAATAATACATTTTATTTAGAATGCACTTTTCTCATACCCAAAGCACCAGACTTTGAATAGACACTTTAGTAGTCTTCCATTATGTGTGAATTAGTAAACATGACTTCTGACTTTAAAATGTTCTCTCCTCTACTTTTCTTCTTTTTATTTTAGTATTCCTTTTAGCTCTGCAGTTTTTAGAACTGGCATTGCATCCACCTTGCCTCCCTGTACCCAAAGCTCAATGCCCTGACTGTGCAGTACTGTGCCTGATGGGCAGTGCTATGCTCTCTCTCTCTCTGCATTTGTGTGTCTGCCTGGCATGCTGTCTTTAGCTGGTGTCAGTGGTGGTGGCAGCCAGCAGCGTGTGGTCCAGCTCCTGTGTGACTGTGACTAGCCTCTGGCTCTACTCTCTCTGCCCCACATTGCTCATTCCTCATGGCTATTCTCCATCTCCCAGCATCCCCTTCGTCTGCAATGAATATCAATCACTGTAATGGGGGTGCTTTCACACGAAAAAACACTCGGCTAAACTAAACTGGGTCAGTATCCTTTCATTAGTGACGCAGTAGAGGCGAGGGGAGGAAGTAAAAGGGAAAACAATCGAGAGAGACAGAGATAAATATGTAGATAGAGACATGTAGATATATATATATATATATGAGAGAAAGAGAGGGAGAGAGGGGAAGAGAGAGAGAGAGAGAGGGAGAGAGAGAGAGAGAGAGGGGGAAAGAGAGAGATATACAGGACACATAGTCCTAGAACAGCAAGGTCTGAGCAGCTGCTGGGCCTCTCACTTCCATTAAGTGAAAAGAGGGCAGAGGGTCAATATAACAAGCGGCAGCACGAGTCATTAACCTGGATAGCTAAAAGCCACATCACAGATACAATGTTTAGTGTCTAGTCCTCTCAGAGTTGATGCATATCTACTCACTAGGGACTCAAAACATTAGCTTGTACTAAAATAAATAATATAAACAAAAACTAAAGAGGTTTAGCTGTTTACCACTATTAATGTTTAGGAACATATCAATGCAATAGTTATATTAGGATGGTTTTTAATTTTAATAGTTTGCTATTGTTGGCAGAATAAACAAATCCAATGGCCACAAAAAATTGCCAGTCATGAAATTATATTTTAGACCATTTTGGTCTAAAATAATAATCCAATTTTGAAAAATGCCATTATTAACTATATGTATCACACACAAATTCATACTTGACAAAAAAAGTTGTGAAATTGTGATTTTTGTTCCTCTGAGGTATTTTCTGAGATATTTTCTACATGTGTCATCAAGGATGTATTTGTTTGATCAAAAATACAGTGAAAACAGCAATGATTAAATATAATGACAATTAAAAATAACTAAATAAATATTTTGATACATTAAATAAATATTTTGATACATAAAAACGTAATTTATTCCTGTGAAGGGAACCTGAATTTTCAGCTGCCATTACGCCCGTCTTTATTGTCACATGATCCTTCAGAAATCAGCTGATTTGCAGCTCAAGTAACATTTCTTACTCTTATTATCAATGTTGAAAACGGTTATACTGCCTAATATTTTTGTGGAAATCGTAATACTTTTTTTCAGGATTCTTCAGGATGGTTAGAAAGTTCAAAAGAACAGCATTTACAGGGCTCTTACTTTTGTGCTCTTGTGCTCCTAATAAAAAAAAATAAATAAAATAAAATAAAAATTGGAGCACAGTCAAAAAAAATTCAGGAGCACCTTCTGATCAATAACCAAACTGAGCCTTTCCATTATGAGGTGATATTTGACTCCTTAAAGTGATTTAAAGGGGCTTTTTTACCTTTGTAATTACATTTTTTCTAACTTTATTAAAAGTATGTCATATTTTATGTCAAATAAAAAAAATTATATTTATAAGGTTTTTCAATATTTCTAATTAAAACAATAGAATAAGAAAAATAAGTTACCAACCAAATGAAATCAGTATTAACAAAATTGATTTGCACTACAGTGGTGGCACAGAAGATTACAAAAGTGGCATGTAGGTATATTTACAGACATTTATTGAGGCTCAGAGGTGGCATGAGTGCAATTAAATTCATAAATTCATGTTGAGATTAATGGTTTAAATATAAAAATTTGAATATAGAAATACTAAATGATTTAAATAACTGAAATGATACTTTAAAAATGAAACTAAAACCTCCCGTAGATGGCGGCATATCACTGATTTTATCACTGAATCATTCATTCAATAGATTCGTTCGAACGGCTGATTCATTCAGGAATGAAGCAAGTCTTTACGAATAAGTAATTAAATCATTGACTCACTAGATTTGTTTAAAAACGCACGTTCATTCATAAACGAGACACCGCTGTGTTTGTTTGGATATGTTCAGCGGCTCAGCTGTGACTTTGTTTGAAACTATTTTTGTTGACAAAATAGAGCAAAATCAGGTAATAGTGTTGCAGTCAGACAACGTAAGTCACTTAATATTAACTTCTTGTTGACTGAACTGTTGTATTAAATCAATATCACATTTGCAAAACTCCCTTAATCATCAAAAGCTGTCACATCAACGAATCTCTTATTTACATTGTGTCTACACGTTGTTATAATCAGAGGATTCGTGATCTTGCATAACTCGGCACTGAACAAAACTCTGGTGTTTTGAGCAGTGAGTGCATTCTGATTAACATTGCGTTCAAGGAATCAGCAGATATGTCTGTAGTACATTACTCAATGCTGCCTGCAAAAACACATTGTAAGCAGAAAATGTTGACGCTCCCCTGAGCTGATCGGGTCAGTCACAGTGCTGCTCCTAATGATTTGTTTTTTTTTCATAGTCGCATGCAGTAGTTTTCAATCGCAAATGGAATTTTTAAACAGAAGCGTATTTTGTTATCATCGTTTCCCACACTTCCCCTGACGCCTCACACTTTGATAACCACTGCTTTATTGAGATTAATATTCATTATCAAAGAAAAAACAACAACATTGCTGTGCATCAGTGCTTTTAAACTATACCTGGGAGAAATCCCAAGCTAGACAAACCTTGACGCATTATGCATACCATGACATATTAAACACCTGGTCCACCATCTGCTTTTGTACGATACCCTCACACTATGGAGGCAAGATCACATCGAATGTCACAGCAACAGTGCAGACGGTCATAATGGTATGCCCCTACCTTTAAGAAATCTTTACAACAAAATAATTACCCAAGAACACGTAGTTTCTGATCTTTCTTTAAATGTAGCATCAAGCATATGTGGAACAGACGGGATACTGACCTTCTAGAAAGCAACCAAACACTTCAAACAATGTTTGACAACAATATTCTCAATGTATGGCAGCATATGTTATGCATAAGACAAATTTCACCAAGGTCTAGGTCGGCTAGGCCCCATCCCGAGCAGACACTGAGAGGTGAAGTGTGGTGTGAAAAGGTAAAGATAGCACTCACCGGTTCTTTAGCTTTCTGCGCTAACACTGCAAAGGTGGACAGCTTGCTGCACAGACATTTGGTGTGGGAGACTGTCGGCGATGGTAGCGTTTGGCAGCTCTCTGCGTCCCAGTTTTCTTCGCCAGCCTCTCTGTTGATAGGGTATAGCGACAACACACACAAACAGGAAAAAAAAAAAAAAAAAGAATTAATTAATTGGGCCATTCCATGAGAGAGAGCAAGAGACTGTAGTGAGTTGTATGGTGCCATGAGAACTAGTCGATGACAACCCCACTCCAAATGCTCTCAGCCACAATGGCCCTCAAGTCCACCGGCCTTGCTTTTATAATGGGCCATCCTCCCTATTAATCTAGTCTTTCTGCAAATATCTGCTTGTCATAAACACTTGCAGGGTCTCATCGATGTCATAACTACCACCTTCCATCATCTTCTTACTCAAAGTATCTGATACTGTATCTGATACTGTAATTATAATCATGTGATTGTTAAAGAAAATCCTACTTTCATTCACCTCCTTCATTCATCCAGTAACAATCCATATTTATATAACAGTATGCCTACATTTACACTACCATCCAAAAGTTTAGGGTCGGTAAGATTTATTTTTTAAATAAATTACTTTTATTCAGGAAGGATGCATTGAATTGATCAAGAGTGATAGTGAAAAGCATTTATATTGTTATAAAATATTTCTATTTCAAATAAATGCTGTTTGACAACACTGGAATAAATTAAATGTCAAATTTCCACGACATTCTAATTTATTGAGATGCACCTGTATATTACAATAGAAAACAGTTATTTTAAATTGTAATAGTATTTTTACAATATTACTGTTTTTACTGTATTTCTCATCAAATAAATGCAGCCTTGGTAAGCATGAGACTTCTTTCAAAAACATAATACAAAAACATAATAACCTGACCCACCCCAAATGTTTGAATGTTAGAGTATATATGCACATATTTACATAATCTGTTTCAAATGTATTTATTTGTACGCATTGAACAAGCTGCCAGTGTGACCATGTGAACTTAAAATTCTCCCACATATGCACATGTTAAGTTCAGGGAATAAATAATGGGAATGGAGGAGGGGGAGTTTTAAAATATTTGTTAAACGTAAACTGTAAAGTTTCATGTTGATCCTCAGATTACACTCACTGCTGAGGCCAGATGGTCGGACTAAGTTGAACTTCTAATTATGGATTCATCAAATAGTGTACAACAAAAAGCACAACTGATTAAATATGTGTAACATTCTGTTGAAACAAATGAAAATTCAAGTTCAGAGCCTAGTCAAGTCAAATATGGCTGTACATGTCCCATCAAGAACTGGGTCTTTTTTTTCAGCAGTAAGTATAGTGATGTGCTCTTTGCTAAGATGGTTCATGAATCATCACTGTGCCCTTGATAAAAACATCTACTTAAGTCAACATGAAATCAAAATTCAGAAAATTTCTTGTGAGCATCACTACATGTTATTCCACAGGAGAAAACACTGTAACAAAAGGCATTTCGTCATGCAAAATTTACATCGAATGAATCTTTCAAGTGAACAATGAATAAGTTAATTTTATTTACTTCCAAGCAATGATTTGTATTGTACGCAGTAATAGCCTTTTCAGTTCACTGAGGTCTCTATTTTGTATTTGACCCCTTTGGAGACTTTCAAATTCTGACTACAGTATATCTAAATAGCCTTACTGAATGTAAATGAACTTGGCTGAGACAATACACATTGATGTTGCGAACGCAACATGAAAAATAATTCAGGACACAGAGTGAGCTGCTGCAGAAAAAGAGCACAATCCAAGTTGTCCTAAAACATGAGATGTGCTTTATATTAAAGGGGACATCGGATGCCCATTTTCCACAAACTGGTATGATTCTTTAGGGTCTTCATGTAATGCCTGCTACATACTTTGGTTAAAATTCCTCAACTGTTGTGTAAAACACCTCTTTTGTTTGTTTTTACCTTGTCAAAAACAGCTCTGTTCACAGCGACCCGTTTCGGTGCGTGTCACTTTAAATGATAATGAGCTACTGCTCACCCCACCCCTCTCTTCCGTGGGGCGTGTCGACACAAGACTCGTCAATTGCTGCCTTGGACTCCATATATGGCTCAGAGGTGGTCTTTATCAAATAGCTAGCTATCTACATAGAAACCGGCTGCAAATTGAAAGAGCTCACTGGATGATACCGTTTCAGACCAAAATTTAATCTAAGTGTCATTTTAACCGTACAGCTTAAACCAGCCTGTCAAATGTGTGTGCTCTTTAATTTGAGACCAGTTTTCCTCAGTGCATAACTTACATTTTTATGGCTGTATCCTGATCTGTAAATTCACACAAGTACTTCTATTTTGCAAGGTTCATCCAGACAGCTAACAGGTTTCTGTTAACCTTCACAGACTTCAATGAATGAGCACAGATGTGCAACAGCCCCATGAACTGCAGTACAAAGAGACAGTTACAACAGTATTGACAGAATTTTTATAGATAAAGACAGAGCCATAGTTTCTACAATAAACCACTGTTTAAGAATAAAGAAAAAAAAAGCTATTTGTTTTTTTCTCCCTTTTGTACTGAAAATAAACAAAACCAGGTTACGTACCGAAACAGATATTTTTGTGTACCGTTACATCCCTAGTAAACATAGAAGAGGTGGTACAATATTAAAATGCATTTTTATCCTGGTATTTTCATTTTGTGGAATAAAAGAAGTAGGTATATTAAATTAATATCTTAAATTATGAGTTTATGAGTCTGTAAAGTATACTCAAGCAGAAAAAAACAGAGATAAAACTCACCGTAAAATTATAATTACAAGAATAAAACAAAAATAGGACAGGAATTCCTGAGATTAATTAAAAAAGATCTATAAATAAATAGTCCTTTTCTGTAATTATTCATACGTTCCCTCAAGGTCAAAATTGCTTAATCAAATTCACTAAACAGTTGCATCACTTTTGTGTGCAGTATTTCAATGTAAAACTCTGCATCTTATTCACTAACAAGCCACAATTCAGTTTGTCAATGTCCCTTTTTTTCAGTAAAAACATTCTATGCAAATTAGGCTTTATATTCACTCTTAATTTGCTTGGCACAATTAACACTATATTTTTGTTTAAAAGAGACGTTTGTGTACATTTTCAAGTCATCATGCCAGTGGTGATTCATCAAATGATGATCAAATGTGCAAAATTTCACTGGGCTTAGGTTAATTGATAAGAAAACAATGTTATAATTATGAGCAATTGATTCCTAGTGCGAGAGTTTTGTGAAATAGTAGTGAAACAAATGCATCCTTGCCATAAACCTGCACAGAAGCAACACAAGAACACGTCTGCATTGTCTATATTTTCATCTCTCTCTCTCTCTCTCTCTCTCTCTCTCTCTCTCTCTCATAAACATGCACCATTCTTTTCCTCAACACATACTGTATGCTCCCACAGCTAGTGCTCAATAAATAAAAACCCACCTAATGCAATGTAAGTGCACTCTTTCTCTAGCCTTGATCTGCAGATTGACACTTCAGAGGCAACTGATCTGAGGCGACTCCTAGTCAAAGTCTCTCTGACACCAACAGAAACAAAGACGAGCCGATAGACACGTGAATGGAATTCTGGGTATTTCTAGTTAGGCTAGGATCAAGCATAGAGGATCAGGTGCAAACCTCCCGGGGATATTAATCAACAGCAGGTGAACAGGAGCAGGTGAGATGAGAGATACAGGGCTTTGTGAAAGATCATCTAAAACATTGTTTGGCAGATCAGAAAACATCCAATTACTGAGCTCTCAGAATGAGACGGGTACGCTGTCCGGACAACATCATTTACAGTCCTTCGGGACATTATCTATCTTTTTTATACCCGCTGGAAAGATGCTGTGTTTTGAATGCTGGCATGGGCTGCTGGTGCATTGGTGTCCCCATCAGGCTTCTTAATCTAATTTGAAGTACCATGTAAATACCATACTATATAAATATGTTAACCATTCAGTGCCATGGGGAACCATGCATGTAAATGACTAAAATGTTTTGTCTAAAAAATCCACACAAATTTCATACCAGTAAATCAATAAATATCAATAAATAATATATATTTTCAAAATATCTGTTATAAATAAATAACATGTATAAATTATAAATAAATAAATGAATGAATAATAAAAAATGAACAAATTCCATAAATATTTGGTCTGGCAAATTGTCCTTTTACAATTTTTTTTTAAAGACTTCAAAGGTGCGGTCACATTAGAAAACATTCTGTGAAATTTTGTGGGCAAAAGGGTCCATTGTCTATTGTCAGTCTAGCGATGTATGAAGCACAGCTCACAGAAGTCATTTTCAAACCAAGCAGCTTTCTGTTGGTCAACACAGCAAATTCGCACAACCAATTTGAATCTGATGCAAAATCTGTGTGGGAAAATCTTTTGTCCTCACATGAAATTCCAGACCGCATGGATTCCTACTAAAATGACTGGATGAAAATTCGCCGAACAGCGGTAAATTTGACAGCAGCTTAAGGTTTGTGTCTCCACTTACTGTATATTTTAAAAATAAACCAACACTGAGAATTATTCAGTAAAAAGTGGGACAACTTGCCCCAGTCACTCTTATATAAACATACCATGGTTTTAGCCTCTGAGATCATCAATGAACCACAGCTTTACCAAAAAAAGATCATGGCAGTACCATGAACCAAATTTCAGCAGGGCTAATTCCAGAAAAAAAGTCCAACACAATTTAATTAACAATTTAATTCCCTCCCAAGAGTAACCTCAATAGCCATTCCTATGCTTCAAATAGCATAAGAAAAACACATGGGCACCCTGTGTACATACCCTCCCTCTTTACAATATTAGCCAGCATGGTAAACAGACTCTGTGAACCTTTTAATTTCTCCCTATGGTTTGAGGTTTTTCTCTCATGCAATTATCAGTAGCTTAGGCATTTTCACTCTTACTCTGCCACTCTGTCATACACACAAAAGCAAATACACATGCTAAAAGCAAGGGCAAACAGGGTGACATATGGGGAATGAAATGCCACAGCAATCATTTCTCACCCTTTGGTATGTGAGTGCCGCTCCATTATTTAATTAGCACATGCTATGATAAGTTTAATG